CCGCCCCGGGGGCGGGGCTAGGCGCACGTGTAGTAAAGAAGTCTCACTGACAGGGATGCGGTGACGTCACTCGTACGACCTTATATAGTAGAGGAGTGGGCGGGGAGTGCGAGAAAGGAGGCGGGACAGCAGGTGAGCTGGGTGGTGGGGAGAAGCGGAGAGGTCTACAATGGATGGTGCAGCAGGAGGAGCGAGACTCCTGCAGGGGAAGGGGGGAAGGGGGGATGGGGGGAAGCTGAAATCTGGAGGGTCCCACCTGGAGATGGGGAATAAAATTGCACCTAAAATCGCATCCAATGAATGTCGGCGTCTTAACGTGCGATTTCTACGGTAATTATTGCAAGAAGTTTTCTGCGATTTTTATTGCGATTTCACAGAATGGAATGGAAATCGCAAGAAAATGTTGAAAATCTTCAAAAGTCGCCATAAAGTCTTCACAAATCATACCGCAATCGCATGCAATTTGTGCGATTTTTACGTTTCAGCTGCGTGACCGGTGACTAAGGCTTGGTTTACACTGGAAGTGATTTAAAATTGCGCCTTTTTTGCGATTTCACCGCGTTTTCTGAAGATTTCCTAACGATTTTGAGTGTTTTCTATTGTAGTCTATATGTGAAATCGCAACAAACTGCAGAAAAAGTAACACAAAAACTACTTTAGGAATCGCATCGCAGCAAATCGCACGTGAAAAGTCGCTGACATTCATCAGATGCGATTTCAATTCCCAAATCGCAGCGCTGTGAACCAGAGTTAAGCATCCATTCACATCCAGCCCGACTTTGAAATCCTGCGACTTACAGTGAAGTCGGGGGACTCGCCGATTTCATGTGAGATTTGCAAGACCTCTAATACAGATGTCTGTGCGAATCGCACCAAAAGCAGCGCAGGTACTACTTCAGAGATCGGTGCGACTCCGACCAAGTCAGAACCGCGCCGATAGGACCGCTCCAATTGAGGACAATGGGTGTGACTTGGCATGTGATCTGTAAGTCGCAGGGCATGCAAATCACACGGAGAGTCGCACTGCGATGCCCTGCGACTTGCAAATCGCATGCCAAGTCACACCCTATTGTCCGTAACTAGAGCGGTCGGGTCTGACTTGGTGGGAGCCGCATTGATCTCAAAAGTAGTACCTGCGCTGCTTTTGGTGCGATTTGCACAGACGTCTGTATTAGAGGTCTTGTAACTCGCACCTGAAATCAGCATCTCAACCCCACTTTGAAATACTGCGACTTCGCTGTAAGTCGCAGGATTTCAAAGTCCGGTTTGGTGTGACCCAGGGATAAATAGTCAGTCACACCGCTGTGATATCGGTTGCAAATTCAGCGCAATTTGAGGTGCGATTTCTGAAAACTTTATTGCGACTTGAGAAGATTTTTAACTATTTCTTGCGATTTGCAATACGATTTCCATTCTATGCTATGTAGGTGAAAATCGCAACAAAACTGCAAAAAAAGTCACGCAAGAACTGCTTTAGAAATCGCACCGCAGCAAATCGCACGTGTTTTCAATTCCCAAATCGCGCTGAAATCGCGGCGCTGTGAGCCAGGGCTAAGCATCCATTCGCATCCAGCCCGACTTTGAAATCCTGTGACAGCGAAGTCGCACGATTTCATAGTTGGGGGACTCGCCGATTTCAGGTGCGATTTGCAAGACCTCTAATAATGATGTCTGTGCAAATCGCACCGAAAGCAGTGCAGGGACTACTTTTGAGATTGGTGCGACTCCAACCAAGTCAGAACCGACCGCTCTAGTTACAGACAATAGGGTGCGACTTGGCATGCGATTTGCAAATCGCATGGGATGCGAATCACATGCAGAGTGCACTGATGTGACTGGAGTGTTAGTCTCCGGTCACACTTGATGTGAATTGGCATGTGATTTGCATGCCCTGCGACTTGCAAATCGCATGCCAAGTCGCACCCTATTGTCCGTAACTAGAGCGGTCGGGTCTGACTCGGTCGGAGCCGCACCGCTTTCTAAAGTAGTACCTACGCTGCTTTTGGTGCGATTTGCACAGACATCTGTATTAGAGGTCTTGAAATCGCACCTGAAATCGGCATCTCCCCCCGACTTTAAAATCGTGCGACTTCGCTGTAAGTCGCAGGATTTCAAAGTCAGGTTTGGTGTGACCGGAAGGTAAATGGCCAGTCACACCGCTGTGATATCTGTTGCAAATTCAGCGCAATTTGAGATGCGACTTGTGAAGATTTTTAACTATTTCTTGCGATTTGCGGTGCGATTTCCATTCTATTCTAAGTAGGTGAAAATTGCAACAAAACTGCAGAAAGTCATGCGGGAACTACTTTAGAAATCGCATTGCAGTAAATCGCATGTGTTAAGCCGCTGACATTCATCAGATGCGATTTCAGGCAAGATTTCAATTTCTAAGTCGCAACTGAAATCGCGGCGGTGTGAGCCAGGGCTAAGCATCCGTTCGCATCAAAGCCCGACTTTGAAATCCTGCGACTTACAGCAAAGTCGCACGATTTCAAAGTCGGGGGACTCGCCGATTTCAGGTGCGATTTGCAAGACCTCTAATACAGATGTCTGTGCGAATCGCACCAAAAGCAGCGCAGGTACTACTTTTGAAATCGGTGCGACTCCGACCAAGTCAGAATCGCACCGATAGAACAGCTCCAATTGCAGACAATAGGGTGTGACTTGGTGTGCGATTTTCAAGTCGCAATGCCAAGTCGCACCGATGTGACCGGGGTGTTAGTCCCCGGTCACACTAAATGCGAATTGGCATGTGATTTACATGCCCTGCGACTTGCAAATCGCATGCAAAGTCGCACCCTAGCATCCGTAACTAGAGCGGTCAGTTCCGACTTGATCAGAACCGCACCACTTTCTAAAGTAGTACCTGCGCTGCTTTTGGTGCGATTTGCATAGACCTCTGTATCAGCTGTCTTGCAAATCGCACCTGAAATCGGCTTGTCATCCGACTTTGAAATCATGCGACTTCGTAAGAGACCCGGGTGTAAATCGCCAGTCACATCGCTGCGATATCTGTTGCAATTTCAGTGCAATTTGAGGTGCGATTTCTGAAGACTTTATCGTGACTTGTGAAGATTTCTCGCCATTTGCGGTGCGATTTCCATTGTATTCTATGAATGTGAAATTGCAACAAAACTGCAGAAAGTCACGCAAGAACTACTTTAGAAATCACGTCGCAGCAAATCGCACGTGTTAAAGACACCGACATTCATTAGATGCGATTTCAGGTGCGATTTGTGAAGACTTTTATTGCGACTTGTGAAGAATTTCAACGATTGTTTGCGATTTGCAGTGCGATTTCCATTATATGTAGGTGAAATTGCAACAAAACGGCAGAAAGTCTCGCAAGAACTACTGTAGAAATCGTGCCGCAGCAAATTGCGCCTGATAAAGACGCTGACATTCATTCGATGCGATTTCAATTTGCAAATCCCACCTGAAATCGCACCAGTATGACCGGGCACTAAGCCCCCCCACCCTCCGGTCACATTGGGTGCGATTTTTAAAAAAAAAGAACTCACATTAAGTCACACTGCTGCAATTTTTTGCGATTTCTAAAGAGTTTATCGATACCTGTGAAGATTTTCAACGATTTCTTGCCATTTGCGGTGCAATTTCCGTTCTATTCTATGGATGTGAAATCGCAACAAAACTGCAGAAAAAGTTACGCAAGAACTATTTTAGAAATTGCGCACAATAAGACGCTGAGAGTCACATTCATCAGATGCGATTTCAATTCGCAAATTGTGGCAGTATGACCGGAGTCGGGTTTATGCCAATGTGCGGGACGCCGTATATAAATCGCCCAGAAATCGCATGCAACGTCTGTGTGGTGAGTTGAACCATCGTATCTGTACTAAAAAGGTACAGGAACCTTTTTTTTTTTTTTTTTTTTTTTCTACCCGCACTTGACTCACCCATGCAATGCGATTCCTGGCAATCGCATTGCGTTTTCTGTTTCAGGGTGTCAATAACGTTCACACTGCACCACATCACATGACAGCCATGCGATTGCAATGCAGTTCAGGAAACGCACCTCAGTAGTGCGAACCCAGGCTTGAAGCTGTTCCTCCCGCCGACACGGACGACGGGGGGGGGGGGCGGGGGGCGCTGTTCCTCCCGCCGACACGGACGACGGGGGGGGGGGGGGGGGGATGGGGGGGGGGGGGCTGTTCCTCCCACCGACACGGACGACGGGGGCGGGCGCTGTTCCTCCCGCCGACACGGGGGGGGGGGGGGGCGCTGTTCCTCCCGCGTGACACGGACGACGGGGGGGGCGGGCGCTGTTCCTCCCGCGTGACACGGACGACGGGGGCGGGCGCTGTTCCTCCCGCGTGACACGGACGACGGGGGCGGGCGCTGTTCCTCCCGCGGACACGGACGACGGGGGCGGGCGCTGTTCCTCCCCCTAATACCAAAGATGGGTTATTTACTCCCCCTGATGCCGGGACAATTTCTACTCCCAATGGCTACAGTCCGGCCCCCCGAAAGTCTGATGGACAGTAAACTGGCCCTATGTTTAGAAAGTTTTGAGACCCCCGATTTCTGCTTTCAGAAAATGTCATGTTTTGGGGGTTTAACTAGTCTTCAGGCGTAAAATGGTTTTTTTTTTGTTTTTTTTTTTTGTGTGCAAAAACAGCCCAGGCAGTGAAAGGGTTAAAGCGGAACTCCGGGCTCTCCTGATATTTGGACCCGGAAGGACGGTTCTGGTTTGGTAACATGGTGTAGGGAACGGTGAGCTTGTGTGATCATCATTTCTAGCAGGGGCGGACTGACCATTTGGAAACTCGGGCACTGCACAAGGGCCCGGGGTCAGTAGGGGGCCCCATGAGATGCCCCTGGTACCTTTTTCATAGGCTTTTTTTACTTTGGGCAAGGACACAGGGGCCCCATGATCCCCTATTGCCCGGGGGCCCCATGAGTTGTCAGTCCGCCTCTGATTTGTATTATCACATTATGAACATGGACTGATCGGACTTCCTCTGCTCCTTTCTGCAGGTCTAACCATGCTTCCCCCTGGTCACCTCCTGCTCCTTCTCGGCCTCCTCACCCTTCCTGAACACGCCGGGGCGTTTTTCGGCTGGTTTACCCGCAAGACATCCGGCCAATCCTCCGGTGCGCAGAAGGAACCGGCTCCAGATCCTCAGAGCCTGCCCAATGCTCCGTTCGAGATGATCACCACCGACGAAAGGTTTCTGGCCGAAGCAAAGCAGCTGGAGATGTCCCCATTGGACAGCTGTCACTACAAGGTGAACCATGACACCAAGCCACCGATACTGGCTGCCAGATGGCATATAGCAGTGGCCTCCAAACTGCGGCCTACGGGCCACATGTGGCCCTTTGCTTGCCTTTATCTGGTCCTTGAGGCACTGTTCCTGCCACTGGGGCCGGGGGCGGTGTAACTGCCACTGGCGCCATTGACGGAGGGCGGTGTTCCTGCCACTGGCGCCATTGACGGAGGGCGGTGTTCCTGCCACTGGCGCCATTGACGGAGGGCGGTGTTCCTGCCACTGGCGCCATTGACGGAGGGCGGTGTTCCTGCCACTGGCGCCATTGACGGAGGGCGGTGTTCCTGCCACTGGCGCCATTGACGGAGGGCGGTGTTCCTGCCACTGGCGCCATTGACGGAGGGCGGTGTTCCTGCCACTGGCGCCATTGACGGAGGGCGGTGTTCCTGCCACTGGCGCCATTGACGGGGCCGTGTTGCTGATGCCAGAACATTTTCTACTCCTACTAGCCACAGTCTGGCCCCTTTAAAGTCTGAAGGATAATATCCTGGCCCTTTTTTGTTTTAAGACCCCTGACCTATAGACTGGTCAATCAAACATTTGGAGATCGTTCCTCCTTCCCTGGTCCTTCAATAAAGTACCCAAAGCTCACGGTTTTTAGTTTCGGATGGGGTGTGGAAATGTTGGAAGCTCTATCAGCTTTTATTGGTGTCTTTTGCCACCGCTGGGGAGATTCATTCTCTGTCCTGGTGGACAGTTTGAAGTTGCCACCAGAACTGGAGGTGAGTGGAGCATGTTCAGATATTCGGGTGACAACTAAGAGGGAACAGCCCAACCTTTTTTGTAGAGATGTCAGATCACATCATGTTTGATCTCCAGGACAGGAAGTGAAGAAAAATCTCCAGTAAATCCAACTTAAAATTCCAAAGTGGGGTTTTCTTCACTTCATTAGGTGACTTGAGGGTTGGAGGGAAAATGCTTTCCATACGTTTTGAGAGGTAGTTGGCTCTTACCAGCGATGACCATTGGTTGACTAAAATGCTTCTAATTTAAAGTGTGTCCAAAACGATTATTTGTTGATAGACTGGTTAGGGGCTGGAACTACCGAGATGAAAATTCTTGGACCCGAAACTGAAAATTCAGGATGCATTTGGCAGAAAATGGAAATGGACTTTTGTTGTCAATAAACGGCCAAGCAGTGATCACATGGAGAGTAATAAGCAAGATGTCACTTCTGACACCATTGCTTACTACGTGTGAAATCTGTGAACGATCACCGAGGTCACATGGTACAGGGCCATTAACAGCCTTGTACCATGTGACAAGCTGTGGCCAATCACAGCTCACACAGTATTTCTCAATGGCTGCAAGAATGCAATTTAGAGAAGGAGAAATGATTGCTTTTACAGCCTTGGGCAATCAGTGTAAAAAAAAAAATAAATAAATAAACCTTCATCACCCCCCACAAGTACAGTGTTACTATTGTGACACTGTACTGCTGGGGTCACGGTATGTAAAAAAAAAAAAATATATATATATGTATATGTAAAAAAAATTTGAAATTATAATTTTTGGTTATAAACTAATTTGGGTTTTTTTTTTTCTTTTTTTTACTAAAAAGATAACGGAATACATTTTGGCCAAGATTTATGATGACAGATCATTTATTTGCAAAATTTTATAAGAATTTTTTTTTCAACATTTTTGGAGTTTTTCATTTTTATAGCAAAAAAAATAAAAATCCCACTGGTGAATAAATACCACCAAAATAAAGCTTTATCTGTCTCAAAAAAAGCTAAAAAATTCATATGGGTACAGTGTTGCATGACCGCACAATTGTCATTCAAAGTGTGATAGCCACACGGCAAAACCGCACCACGTTTTAGGCACCAATGAAAATATTGGCACCTGAACCTGTGTTTTGTGATCACAGCAATTTTGCCACCCAGGTGTGAGGGGAACCTTCCTGGTTCTCACACATGCGATTCTGGATTCGTTTAGAAACTCAGATTCGCATGACAGGCTAGATATTTTGTGTTCCTATTGAGGTAGTTCACAGAGACGCATTGTTTTGAGTGCCATTATGAAAAGAGTCCTGTTCGAGTTTTTGGCTGTGCGTTCCAGACTCGCAAGTGCTAGTGGCATGGAGAGATGTGTTCACGTAGGATTGCTTTTGACAGGAGTTTTTCCCGTGGGCGCCTGTGGGGTGGGCGACTTCCTGTGGGGGCGGCTACTTCCCGTGGGCGACTTCCTGTGGGGGCGGCGACTTCCCGTGGGCGACTTCCTGTGGGGGCGGCGACTTCCCGTGGGCGACTTCCTGTGGGGGCGGCGACTTCCCGTGGGCGACTTCCTGTGGGGGCGGCGACTTCCCGTGGGCACCTGTGGGGGCGGCGACTTCCCGTGGGCACCTGTGGGGGCGGCGACTTCCCGTGGGCGCCTGTGGGGGCGGCGACTTCCCGTGGGCGCCTGTGGGGGCGGCGACTTCCCGTGGGCGCCTGTGGGGGCGGCCACTTCCCGTGGGCGCCTGTGGGGGCGGCCACTTCCCGTGGGCGCCTGTGTGGCGGGCGACTTTCCGAGGGCGAGCCCTGGCACCAATATGCAATTTCTAGTCGCCATTGTGATCTGGCGCCTGGGATTTGTGGAACCCTGGGTCAGGGACTTTTTTTTAAATGCAAAACATTACGTTTTTGGTTCAATAGACTTCAATGGGGAGACTACAGAAAACGCATGTAGTGCGTTTTTGAGGCGGTTGTTGTATTTTTGATGCATTTTGCGTCTTTACTCAGCCCAGCAATAAGTTGGCAAAAAAAAAAAAAAAACTGCGTTGGTGTGAAGCAGTCCTCAAACGTACTGAAAACTGAGCAAAAAAAGCATTAACAAACGCACACGTGTTGCTTTTTTGATACATTTTCAAAGTCACGTGACCTATGAAAAAACTCACCCTAAACATGGTAAAATCATGGGTAAAATGGCACGCTTTTGTCAGCTATTGTCGGTACCTTTTTATATTTTTTCCCTACCGGCAAAATGCTGATAACACGATTTTCGCCTGATTGCATTTTGGCCGCCGATCTATCAGTGCATCCCTAGCTAGAACCTCTGTCGGTTTATTGCTATTGCAGTCTGTGACCGTTGTCACCAAAGACTGAAATTGAAGGAACAATCAGTTTTGAGTCCCCATAATGGTTCCAATGCTGGCAAGTCTAATGTCTAGTACACACAATGAGAATGTTGGACGATTGATCATCCGTTTTTGTTTGTTTTTTGCCTGCTAGTCTCATATTGAAAATGAAGGTTACCAAAAAGTCTTGTAAGACAGAATACAACTTCCCTTCATGTATTGTATTGTGTTCAGGCCAGACTGGCCATAGGGCACACCGGGCATTTGCTCAGTGGGCCAGGCTTCGGGTCCTAGGAGGAGCGGCCTGTGGATGAACGGGCCGCACAGCGGGAGGTAAGTGGCGACCGTGGTCTGGACAGCAGGACTGGGCCGTTTCTTTGCTTGACTGGGCCCAGCAAAGGGACATCCTGTCTCTTTGCTTGACTGGGCCCAGCATAGGGACATCCCTATCCAGCAATGGGACATGCCGCCTCTTTGCTGGACTGGGCCGCCTCTTTGCTGGACTGGGCCGCCTCTTTGCTGGACTGGGCCGCCTCTTTGCTGGACTGGGCCGCCTCTTTGCTGGACTGGGCCGCCTCTTTGCTGGACTGGGCCGCCTCTTTGCTGGACTGGGCCGCCTCTTTGCTGGACTGGGCCGCCTCTTTGCTGGACTGGGCCGCCTCTTTGCTGGACTGGGCCGCCTCTTTGCTGGACTGGGCCGCCTCTTTGCTGGACTGGGCCGCCTCTTTGCTGGACTGGGCCGCCTCTTTGCTGGACTGGGCCGCCTCTTTGCTGGACTGGGCCGCCTCTTTGCTGGACTGGGCCGCCTCTTTGCTGGACTGGGCCGCCTCTTTGCTGGACTGGGCCGCCTCTTTGCTGGACTGGGCCGCCTCTTTGCTGGACTGGGCCGCCTCTTTGCTGGACTGGGCCGCCTCTTTGCTGGACTGGGCCGCCTCTTTGCTCAGTTGGGTCCAGCAAAGAGACCTCCCTGTCCAGCAAAGAGACCTCCCTGTCCAGCAAAGAGACCTCCCTGTCCAGCAAAGAGACCTCCCTGTCCAGCAAAGAGACCTCCCTGTCCAGCAAAGAGACCTCCCTGTCCAGCAAAGAGACCTCCCTGTCCAGCAAAGAGACCTCCCTGTCCAGCAAAGAGACCTCCCTGTCTTTGTGGATGGGGATGTCTCTTTGCATATATAGGGGGCACTGTGATTAGATCTCTAGGAGTAATGCAAAGAGGCACTATGCAGTCCCCTTTATATCAGTGCCCCTTTACAGTGTCGAGAAGCGACTCCGTGAATATTCCATCACCAACTGCCCCCGCGCTAGCCCTTGCACTTTCACACCTTGTAACACCCCGATCATTGCACCTTTACCCCTTGGATCACCCCGATCATTGCACCTTTAGCCCTTGGATCACCCCGATCATTGCACCTTTACCCCTTGGATCACCCCGATTCCTGCACCTTTACCCCTTGGATCACCCCGATTCCTGCACCTTCACCTCTACATTCACCCAAATTCCTTTACCCCTCGTATTGCCCCAGTTCCTGCACCTTTACCCCTCGGGTCACCCCAGTTCCTGCACCTTTACCCCTCGGGTCACCCCAGTTCCTGCACCTTTACCCCTCGGGTCACCCCAGTTCCTGCACCTTTACCCCTCGGGTCACCCCAGTTCCTGCACCTTTACCCCTCGGATCATCCAGAAGTTACCAACTCCTGCTCAAGATGATGGCGTGTACTGGACCATTGATCAACACTCACACATGCCTTTCCCTGCTCACAGGGCAATTCATGTGCTAAATGGTCAAGTCAAACGTGTGTACAGAGCTGGTGGCGGGAGATGTTGCAGAAAATGTATTAATAAGATGTGAATTGACAGGTTGTCAGTCAGCTGAGAGCTTCCTGTACAGAGATGTCGGAGGAAGAGATTGCAAAACTCGGTGTGGCGCTCTTCAACTGTCAGGCGGAGGTAGAAGGCCGCAAGACTTACCCCTGTACTGAGGACATGGTGAGTGTTACTGCCCTCCGGGGGTGTAGGGTTCAGGTTGTATGTATCTTAGGCATGTAAAATAAAAAAAAACATTTCAGGTAACAAGGCCACTTGTGGGTACCCCAGTCCATCTCTCCTAAATGATCCATGGAAAATGCACCACTAGAATAACCCCAGCCTGACTGGTGCAGTTGGCAGGGAAGTTGATTGGGAGAAGCGAGGTGGTTCTATAGAGTTTCAGAAAGTGTTGAACCTTCAGGGCAAAGGTGGCAAGGGAGCACATGTATTGGAGCACTGGGATCCCAACTTGGGTGAATGAAAGGCATCAGGTGATGATGGCAGGGCGTGAGACAATTGAAAGTGGATATACCATGGATTTCAGTGGAGGCCAAGGGGGGATATGGGTGTGAGTTCAGGGAAAGGGTAGGAAGATCAAAGGGCAATAGTTTGTTGTGGAGAACAGATCGGTGAGAACTGGAGGATCAGAGGATAAAAGGTAAAGTAGAATATACTGAGTGTGGATAAATTGGAGGTAGAGAATCAGGAGAGGAAAGTGGATAGGAGAGAACTGGAGGCTCAGTGGAATGAGCAGGGCTGGCTTAATGCATGGCCCCATGATAATTTTGCATTACATCATACTTGCCAACTGTCCCGGATTTGTCAGGACAGTTAAGCTTTTTACTAAGCTGTCCCTGGATGGCCGTGTCCCGGGACCTGTGCCCTCCTGATCCCAGTATTGTGCCCTCCTGATCCCAGTATTGTGCCCTCCTGATCCCAGTATTGGGCCCTCCTGATCCCAGTATTGGGCCCTCCTGATCCCAGTATTGGGCCCTCCTGATCCCAGTATTGGGCCCTCCTGATCCCAGTATTGGGCCCTCCTGATCCCAGTATTGGGCCCTCCTGATCCCAGTATTGGGCCCTCCTGATCCCCCCCGTACTGCGCCATTCCCCCCCCCCCCGTGCCTTTTGTGTTGATTAGGCTTTGATTTATGTAATATTTTCTTACTATTTGAACATTTTTTTTATTTACACTATCAACTGTTTATACTTTAGTTCCTGAGTAGATGCATAAATTGCAGCAGGCTGGTATGGGCCCCCAGTGCATTACCTTGCCCGGGGGCCCATGCTGCTATTAGGACGGCCCTGGGAATGAGCAAGGGATGGTAGAGCGTAGAGCTGGAAGATCCAAAGAGGGTAGTAGAACGTATCCAGTGGACAGCAGAGGGCCTTTGTTTGCATGCCTAGGCAAATGTCATACACCCCAGGAGTCTTCAGACAGAGAGGGGTTTTCTCAGCTAAGGAAACCCTCCTGCATGAGCTAAGGGCAGATGGATTCAAGAAAGTAAATTCATCTAGAGGGGTCTTTGTCAAAGTGATTTTTCAGCAAAATAAAGCATGGAGACATGAATGGATGGGGGAGTTTGCTTTGAGTAATAAAAATGAATTAAATCGTTTGATTTATGTTGCTTGGATGCAGTGTAGTTCCGCTTTAAAATGTTACTAAACCCCCAGCAGTACAATCAGTCTGTAGATGCAGTAAAGCATGACTGTTATACTCACTGTGGAACCTAAGGGGTTAATCCTCTGCATTTTGTAAAAATGCTGTTTGATCCTGTCTTCTCTGATCCTCCCCTTCCAGTGCCCCCCCTTATGTCCTGATAAGACATATCGTGTGGAGTCGCTCTGCACATGCTTAGTTTGGTGTGTATTGATAGAGGTTTTTTTTTTCTTGGGAGAGTCCGGGGAGACCGGATACAGTGAATGCGGGGTCCTGGGAGAGCGGATATAGTGAATGCGGGGTCCGGGGAGAGCGGATATAGTGAATGCGGGGTCCGGGGAGAGCGGATATAGTGAATGCGGGGTCCGGGGAGAGCGGATGGAGTGAATGCGGGGTCCGGGGAGAGCGGATGGAGTGAATGCGGGGTCCGGGGAGAGCGGATGGAGTGAATGCGGGGTCCGGGGAGAGCGGATGGGAGTGAATGCGGGGTCCGGGGAGAGCGGATGGAGTGAATGCGGGGTCCGGGGAGAGCGGATATAGTGAATGCGGGGTCCGGGGAGAGCGGATGGAGTGAATGCGGGGTCCGGGGAGAGCGGATGGAGTGAATGCGGGGTCCGGGGAGAGCGGATGGAGTGAATGCGGGGTCCGGGGAGAGCGGATGGAGTGAATGCGGGGTCCGGGGAGAGCGGATGGAGTGAATGCGGGGTCCGGGGAGAGCGGATGGAGTGAATGCGGGGTCCGGGGAGAGCGGATGGAGTGAATGCGGGGTCCGGGGAGAGCGGATGGAGTGAATGCGGGGTCCGGGGAGAGCGGATGGAGTGAATGCGGGGTCCGGGGAGAGCGGATGGAGTGAATGCGGGGTCCGGGGAGAGCGGATGGAGTGAATGCGGGGTCCGGGGTGAGCGGATGGAGTGAATGCGGGGTCCGGGGAGAGCGGATGGAGTGAATGCGGGGTCCGGGGAGAGCGGATGGATGTGAGTGAAGATGCGGGGTCCGGGGAGAGCGGATGGAGTGAATGCGGGGTCCGGGGAGAGCGGATGGAGTGAATGCGGGGTCCGGGGAGAGCGGATGGAGTGAATGCGGGGTCCGGGGAGAGCGGATGGAGTGAATGCGGGGTCCGGGGAGAGCGGATGGAGTGAATGCGGGGTCCGGGGAGAGCGGATGGAGTGAATGCGGGGTCCGGGGGGGCAGATATAATGAATGCGGGGTCCGGGGAGAGCGGATATAGTGAATGCCGGGTCCAGGGTTTAGTAACACTTTAAGGAGCACCACATAGCAGAGCCATGCAAGACGACGTGAAGCACTGAGGAAGGAGGGCACAGAGGTGGTACATAATCAATAATGGTGTAAAGCTTAATTAGTCCAAGAATCCTCCAGTACCTCTACCAGGAAACAGGAAGCCTAGCAGGTAGATATACCAAGGCGGGCTTGAAAAGGAGGTGGGGATGGAGGGGGGTGGGCCAGCATTCAGAAGTCCTGGGTGTATTGGATTTGGGGGCTTATTTTAGTCCTCTTAGTGGGTGTCGGGGCTTCTAGGCACATTCATTGCGGGAAGGGTTAAGACCGCATGTACCTGTCAATTCTAGGAGTTGGATGCAGCTGTGGTTTCTTAGCCACCGGATAATACGTAGGCAGCCCAGGGTAGTTTTTTTGCTGCTATGGAGAGGTGTGTCTTTCAAGGTTCCGAAGACCTCATCCTCATGAGAAGGTTGGCCACCATCTTAGTTTAACGGGTAGAATTGTTTCGTATTCATCCGACAGAATGGTGGACTTAGTGTGAATCTCCCTATGTAGCCTGATCTGCTTGTTGGTTTTGCCTGATTCAGCTTTGTCATTGGTCAGACCCTTGCAGAATGCACGTCTTCCATGGACCCCGATACCTGGAACGCTTACCATATTGTCAGCAATCGGGCACGTTCGGTCTGTTATGCCACCCGCCAGTTGCACTTCCGTCGGCGCACAGAGGTCACGGTGAACACGCTGGTGCACACAGCTATGAGCCAGCTTGAGGCCATGAAAATCCTGAAGGTAATTTGTTCTTTGACATTTAAGGTAGCGCCTTGAGTCTCCCTCCATTTCTTATCTCGGCAGTCTCTAATAATCAGTCTATAAACTCTTGGAGCCTCCATTGGTGATTTGTCCCCACTCACGGGTCATGATGGAGCTGTCACTCTGCAGCTGGTAATATATTCAACATTATGGTGGGCCAGTGACAGCAGTGTTTGGCTTTTTAATGGCTGTGGTGGATGCACAGGTCTATGAAAGCTAGTGGAGGCATCTTACCACGAGTGTCCTCTAGAGATCTAAGAAGTTGGCAAGTGTTTCCACTTGCCAGCAGCCATACAAAACTTGGTTGGTTTGGATGGAGTCGGTGTGTTTTCTGGGTCCAGCACCTGTATGAATTCTGCACATAGAGCATGAGTGGGGTTGCACAATGTAGCTTCATGTGACCGTAGATGTCAACGCAACCAGAAGCCTGATGAATGTTGGTGTTGAATCTTCAACGTTCCTTCCACTGGGAAAGCTTGTGTAGCTGATATCCAGTTGAGTGAATGATATTGCTGTCTGTGTTGGCAGGTTGGGCAGGAAGAGCTGAAGGAACTGACCTCCGAGTCACTACAGAAGGTCCTGAGCAGCCAGAGTGATATCCTGAGCCAGCAGGAGCAGCTGCAGACCAACCAGGAGAAGATGGAGACTTCAATTAGCGGCAACCTGGAGCTGCTGGCAGAGGAGAAGGCACTGATCGCTAGTGGGCACCACTTGGTGGCAGAAATGATAGAAGGGATCACCAAGAAAATGGGTACACAGTTCTCCCAGTGACCTAGTAAATAGCCAAATTAAAAAAATGTCCATCAGTTCAAACAGCAGAAAAAATTACATAGCATACAATACATTTTCTTCATCCAGAAAACACCAAACTGACCTATAGCAATGATACCCTCAGGATCTTCTGGATTTCATGGGCTCGTAATCACCCACCGACCCAGCAGTAATCACAAGTAGACAGACTTTAGAGTTTTCAACCTTCATTTTCAAATTTAGTGGCTTGCTTGTCTTGGGGGAAGAGGGGAGCTGAGGTACAGAATATCCAAAAATCCCTCTACAAAGCAGATTTCCCTAAGAATTCTTTAGGCCCAGATGGGCTACTAGCTTCCAGTATCTTAGGGCTTTGCCATGGGCCAGTTTAGATTCTTTAGGTTTTTTCAACTTTACAACTGGTCTATCTTGGGACTGTAGGCCCAGATGGGCAACTAGGAAACAGAACCCTCCTTTTGGCTTTCTCTTCCAGGCAAAAAGGGCCTGTCAGGGCAAAGTAGGTCTCACAGCTTTTTCATCCCCAGGCAGAAGGCCTGGGAGTTGAGGATCCTACTTAGCAGCAGCCTAGAAGGGAAGGAACTCACTACCTCAAAACACATCACGGGAATAAACCCCTCAGTGATAAGTCAGAGAATATTCATAACCCAATGCATTGTAAAGTCTCACTGTAATTACTGCAGAGCACTCAGCAGGTAGAGGCAGTTGATCCCTAGGCATGGAGAAACACAATGAAAGTTTGGTTGGGGACACCAGCTTAGGGCATGGCACCTTACACACAGTTGATCCAGAAGAAGTTACAGTATAGATGGTCAAATCTTCTGTGAAGAAGGCCCTTTTGGTGAGGAGCATGTGCAAATCAATGCAGTGTATTATCCATGCTCACCCTCGAAATTCTTATCCAATAGTAGCCGAGTGGTTCCATCCACAATTCATCCCTTTATTTCAATGTTATACTTCAGTGATTCTAGTTGAACTTCCTATTGTCTGTCTGGATTCCTGATATTCATTTTATTTCTGAATCACTTCTGCAGAGAATGTGAGCAGCCACATGATAGATCAAGATGCTGAGCTACATGAGGGACACAAAGCCATCCTTGCTGATCTTTCTGAGGTCCGAACTAGATCCCACGAGGTCTACTCCAAAATTGGTGAGTTCTCTGCTTCCCACACCCATGTGGTACAGAGCCAACATAGCCAGCCACCAGAAACTTCCATTAATGTCAGCTTGCATACAAATCGCAGGAACATTTTCAAGACTCTTAAGGTCTACCAGGAAAATGTGACTATTCTGAAGTTCATTCACTAGGTTTGAAGGCCCTAGAGAGGGAGCCACCATGAATTCAACAATTGGGAAGTTGTTTGGGATTTTGAAGCATTTTTCGATCAGAGTTGGGTTAACTCCATTAACCACTTGACCTCCAGAGGATTTAACCCCCTTAATGACCACGCCTCTTTTTGCTACTCGGCGCTGCACTAATTCAACTGATAATTGCGCGGTCATGCAATGCTGCACCCAAACAAAATTTACGTCCTTTTTTTCACACAAATAGTGCTTTCTTTCGGTGGTATTTGATCCCCTGTGCGCTTTTTATTTTTCACGCTATAAACAAAAAAAGGCCAAAAATTTTGAAGAAAAACAATATTTTTTACTTTCAGCTATAAAAAATATATAGTAAACTCAAAGTTAGTTATAAATTTAGGCCAAAATGTATTCTGCTCCATGTTTTTGGTAAAAAAAAATCCCAATAAGTGTATATTGATTGCTTTGTGTGACAGTTATAGCGTCTACAAACTATGGTATAGATACTGCAATTTACGCCATTTTTTTATTATGCAGCGCTGCGCTAGTTTAACGGACAATTGCGCGGGTCATGCAATACGGTACATAAATGAAATTTACATCCTTTTTTTTTTTTTTTTTTCCCACAAATTGAGCTTTCTTTCGGTGGTATTTGATCGCCTGTGCGATTTTTTTATTTTTTGCGCTATAAAAAAAAGGCTGACAATTTTGAGGGAAAAAAAAACAATATTTTGGACTTTTTGCTATAAAACATGTCCAGTACAAAAAAAAATTTAAAAATCAAATTTAGTCATAAATTTCTGCCAAAATGCATTCTGCGACATGTCTTTGCTAAAAAAAAAAAAAACCCCAATACGTGTAAATTAATTGGTTTACGTGAAAGTTATAGCGTTTACAAATGGCGGGAAAGATACTGGGATTTTTAGTTTTTTTTTATTATTCTTATAATGGCAGCGATCAGCGACTTATGGCGGGACTGCGGCGGACATTCTGACACTGGGGGGGTACTGATTTGGGGTAACTGACATCCCCAGTGACACAAATACAGTGATCAGTGCAAAAAAAAAACACTGACACTGTACTAATGGCACTGGGGAGGAAGGGGTTAACTTTATTTTGCAGGGAAGGGTTATCTGTGTGAGGGGAGTGTTTTACTAGGGGGCGGGGTGTGTACTGCACAGGACACCGCTGATCCGGAGAGAGAAACACTTCTGTCCCGATCAGCTTGTCCTCGAGCTGTCAGGGAAGTGACAGAAAGCACAGCTACTGCAGCTGTTCTCTCTGTCAGCGATTGCCGCCGATCGCCGGGACATAGCCGGTAAGGACCGGCTGTTACCCGGCGACTGACATCCGCGGCTGTGATCGGCGGGACAGGTAGGGCGGCAGCGCGCCTCGCGCGCGCCCCCTACCTGTTTACAAAACACACGTTTTAAAACGTGGTTTTGCCTGCGCGTGCCGCCCTGCCGCCGTATTTATACAGTGGCTGGGCGGCATGTGGTTAAGATATTGGTTACCAAAGAGAGAATCCTTCTTCCACATCTCACTCACTAGAATGGAGTTCTCGGATCTTCGCATATTTGTCAGTGCAAAATAGGGAATCCTGACCTTTTTAGTGGAGGTTGAGGGACAATAAGCTGTATCGAAATTAAATTTTGGGAAGTTCTGGATGGGCAGTTGGACAAATGGCTATATATAACACACACACACATACAGGGGTTAGACAAAAAATGGAAACACTACATGATTTGCATTTGTGAAAGTGATGACATGTTTGGCATTGAAAAGCGGAAGTGATGTAACCTTATTTTGCTTCCGCTGTGTGATGAGACACCTAACTAATGGGTGGGAAGCCTCACTTGTGTCACTTTTCCTTATTCACTGCATGCGCTGCTAGTAACACACAGTCATGTCAGAACTTACGGAGTTCCAAAGAGGGCAAATTGTTGGTGCCGCTTAGCTGGTGTCTCTGTGACTGAAGTTGCCTATTTGCCGTGTCGCGAGGTTCAGTATCCTAGTTTGACGGCACATTTTCTGGGAAAACATCGTCTGATGAGCATAATCGTTGTTGACATGGTCAACTGACCAGAAGAGACAAAAGGACATTGCGCAGGATTGTGACCCAGGAAAAGGAAAACTGATGCAGTAGTGATTGCAGAGCTCAATATCAGTCCCGTAAAGACTGAGATTGAGCTCCACAGTCCTTTTTCCAGGAGTATTTATCACTGCCTGTGTCCTCGTCATGGACAGTCGTTCTGTCTTTGTGCCAATTGTCACCTGGCCAAAAAATGTGAGGGTGAATTTAAAATGATAGGTTTGTCACCAGAACAGGAGGCGAAGGGTGTGTCTCAATGTGGACACTAGGGATGCTCTAAAATGTTGGTGTCCGAAATGTTTCGGCCGAAAACACCCCTTTTGGCCGATATGGGGAAAAAAAAAGCACCGATACAGGTGCCGAAAAAAACCCCGCCTCTCGCTGCTGCCGCCTACGGCCGCCGTTCGGTAGTTCTCAGCCTTACCTGAGAAACCATCGAATGATCCTGGCGCTGGGCATAGAGATTAGTGAAGGAAAGATGGCCTCCACTCATCTCTATGCCCTTGGAGGACTGGAGCAACGTCACTTCCGGTTCCAGCCATTTTTTTTTTTTTTTTAAAAGCACTAGATCAATGCTTTTTTGAGCTAATGCTTTACATTGGAGAGGAGAGATTTGGGGTCTTATTGACACTATAAAAGAGGACCTGTCACTTCTGTCACAAGGATGCATGCATTCCTTGT